ATATATATATATATATATATATATATAGTGGTTTCTAGGTATATCCAATATGATAAAATCATATATAAATATATATTCATATTTATGAACTGCGCAGGGGTATTAAAGATTTCAAGTGAATGATAATGTGCGTATTATTCGTTTATTTCTTCGTGTTTCCTTTAATTCTCTTGGTATGTTTTATCCTAACTCTGGAAGCTGCAAGAAAAATAAATATATTTATTGTATAAAATGATCAGTTTAAATATTGAATGATTATTTTTTTAACTAAATTATGAAATAGATTTCAGATGGTAACAATATTCAATTCAATTAAAATCAAAGATACGTTTTATTGACCATTTATTAAAGTATAGTATATGAAAACGCAACAAAAAGAATAGCATGAAGCACATACTAAATTCCATTGTTTCAATTACAAGATCATGTTGCAATCATGAATACATCACCGTAAATGGAAGAAAGAGAATATAGCAGAAATATATTTTGTTAGTGGAAAGATAGCAAAACAATAATAATTACTTAGGCCTATGATAAACCGATTCACGAACTAAAATATATAGGGCCTAGGCATATTAAATTTTTCGTTTTCGCAACTCCTTCGGCGCTCCATATATTTGTTCGAAATAAACCGCGACCGAAACGAAGCGCGACCGAAATGATCGGCTACCGCCTAGGCTAGGCCTAGGATGCCTCTTTAAAAAGTGTTCTAGACCTAGATAGGGTAATTAGATCTAGTTGTTTTAGTTTTACAGTAAGTGGGCCACCAAATGACATCCATCAAATTAATTCGAACAAGTTACCTGCAAATTATTCAGAATTTTTAGCATCAGTCACACCTGACAGCCTGAAAGAAGCGGCAAGATCCGTGTTGTACAATCGGCGCGCGTTCAATCGTGGTGTGATGATCCCATCGAAAGTTTTTGATGACGTCGCAGCAATTTGCATACATACGCGCATGCGCATTAATCTACAAATACCGGCAATAAACGTTGTATATAAAAATTATTCTAAACATGCTGTTTATGTTTATCAACATTATACATATTTTTTACCAATAAACAATTTTCAAATGAAAAACAAAATACAATAATCATCATTTTCGGTTTTTGAATGATTGAGGTACACGTACCCATAACATAACTCAAAGTGGAGTCATCTCTCGCCCGCTTACATATAATAAATTACAATAGACTTATGAAAGCTAATTGCTTTTGCTGAAAATACATTTAAATTACTTAATTTATTAATATTAAATGGAAATTATTATATTATTATTTATATTCATATTTTGAACACACTCCATATTGCAACTAAACACTCGTAACAAAGAGCCAATAAACACACCGTTTAATTTTTTTAACACGCAACCAGGTCACAACTAAACATACTGTTTTATTTTTGTTAAATAAATAAACACCTAAACACTTTTATAAACACATAAAGCCTAAACACCTAAACATTTTTTTTACAGTGTATTATTTGAACATACGATAACTGCCGTATTTTAAAGCAGTCTTTATTTCTCTTGTTGCTTTTTATTTTGGCTGTAATCTAAACTATTTTTTTTGTAGAGTGGTTAATGGTAAATTGTTTTTACTCTCTCGATTATGAGTAGTAGGCCTACTACATTTGATTTAGATGTTTTTCATTTTCAATTAACGAAATTTTACGACCATTATGATCAGTATATTGGTGTTTTCTGTAGAAAATTATTTGAAGTCTATTATTAAAACGAATAACAATACAGTTGAAAGGTACAAATCAACCAGAAAGAATGTATAACTAAATTGAAAGATCCCAAAATAAACGTTGGTTTTGCAGAAATAATGTACAGGATCTACCTAACTGTGTGTTTTGTGTGTTTTTTCCCCATTCAATGAGGCAATGTAGCTATTTTGTAAAACCATTTAAAGAAAGACCATTGGTTAAAACTTGGTTTTTAATGGGTGTGCATCGCCGTTAGCGTATGTATATTTTTGTTCAACGGTTGCTTCTTTTATCTGTAAACATTTAATAACAGTGCCTGTACCTTGACATATCTTAAAGTCTCCGACCAATAGCATTAACATATTGCTCATGAAATGTAGTTAAAAACAAGCTTGACCCTATGCTGTTCGCACAGCAGAGCGCATCGTCTATCGTACATTGTATTATAACGTGAAAAGGCTATTGAATGTTCTATTGTTTTAGATACCTGTTTACCGTTACAACTGTGTCTCTTAACATTATGCTGAAATATTTTTTTTTTCAAAAGAAATATATGTGGTTGATATGATAGAATTGTACATAAAGCAAAGGTGTTGATTCGTGATGCCTGATTGACACGCGTCGTCTTATCGTTACAATAGCTACACGTCGTAATTTACCGATGGTAGATGGTACATTTTTAGTATTTCCTTATATTTCATTTAGTTTAGCTCTTCTATGACCATTTTGACTTGACTAAGCATGAAAAACAAGTATATCTGTTCTAGATGGTGTATCAAGCCCAATTTTGAATATCAGCAATAATTGTGTTTAATACTACGTTTTATTTTTTTTATATGTTTTATTTTTTAATATTATAAGTTTAAGCAATTTTGTACAAATAACGTAGCCTAGATTATCTGTTATCCTCTGTTTGTGTAATTTGCTACTGATAGGTCTTGTAAAATAAGTCATGAAAAGAATGACTTTTAAAGAATACAGTAACCAGCCTTGGTCCGATATTGATCAAATGTGAATTGTGACGTAGGGCAGCTGATGACGTTACATTCTGATAATCGATAGTATATCAGTTGGACCAGTTCAGATTTGTTAAAATTGAGGGTCACGTGACTCAGCGCAATTTAAAAATTGGTAATACATTTTTCTTCCTTGTAATTGGTCATTCTCATTTTGTTTTAACTTTGTTGAAGAATAATCAAATCTTATTGGTCAATGGCCATATATATTATACTAGGACAGTGTATAAGTATTGATGAAAATTCTCATCAGCCCATAGGCCAACACTAGCTTACAACTGTTCAGTAACAACAACAACTACCGTGTTTCTAACACATACAAGGTAGGATTAAACATTGATAATCTATTTTAACAGGTGTTACAAAAAAGCAACCTACCAAATATGATAACATGTTAGAAGTATTCTCATTATGATTTTTAATTGTCTTAATTATAAGCTTCAACAGAATTCTCTCTATTTGTGATCCGTTTAATAGATTAAGAATTTAATGGTTTGTATGAAATACATTTAGAATTTTTTGTTACGTATGTGATAATGATGACAGTTAATTAGTATTTTATAATAAAATAAATTATGGGTATGCCTTTCTAAACCTTCAGATATTCTAGACCTCGGTGCAGGTACTGTATGCAATTTAACAAAATGTGACCTATCAGCTGTGGCAGAAATTTGCTGAATATCGATAGGTTTTGTGATTTCTTGTTATATTATGTTTTAGATACTGTTATTCAATCCTTTAATTCATTGATTTCAATCAATTTGAAAACGAAAAAGACAACATGAAGGTAAGTTACAAAAGTGCGTAATATATTTGTTAGCGTTATTTTTTATTTATTTTTATTTTAAGTGATTCTGTATTCTCCAATTCTGTGTAACAAAGCTACCGCATAAACCTAAATTCGAAGGCGTTAAAAAACAGATAAAGTGATACTTAGAATAATCATAGTAATGTAATGCATGGATTTGCAGAATATTTTCTTTTTTAATTCACAATCTTCGATTAGTACTCAAACAGCTTCGATAATGGTTTTCGATAGACCCAATTTTGTATTGTAATAAGTGACTGATAGGCAAATATTGATTTATTGAAAGTTCATGCAGGCCTATACCCCCTTCCAAATTAAGTAAATAACATTCTTCTATCAGAATTATCTCACATATTTTGTTTTACAGCCAACGTTTACTTGCAACGTATGTAACAAAATTTTCCAAACTCCTTCAACTACAATCGACACCTTTCCCGTCATACTGATGTCAACCAGCACCAATGCAATAAGTGCGGTAAAGTATTTGCAAGGCATGACAATTTTGTTCGACACTTTAACAACAAGCATGGTAGTGAGAATAATGCGCAAAGTGGATATGGTACAGATGAAAGAGATGAACCTTCTACTAAGCGACAGCAGTTATCTAACAATGGTCGTGACTTTTATCAAGTCACAGATATGACGGAAGTTGATATGAAGAAATTCAAGACAAAAGCAATCCAGTACACCGTTAAATTCAACGACGATTTAGATATTCATGATTCAACTACCCTCCTAAGTACGCTGCATAAAGTTTTTCAGAGTCTCATCAACAACTTGACGGATGGGGCTCATCCTGACGATCTGATTCGTATGGAGTAGAGTGTCCGGAATTGGATTATCCAATACAACTTCCAATAATAAAAAAACGACATTTGACAGCCGACCTATTCCTTGCTCAGGTAGAACGAGTACTACAGTCGTACGAAAATTCAGCATCGATGGTTCACTAGAAATACATATTACGCACGTGAAAATGCCCAGAGGAGGAAAGGCCAGAAAAAAGAGATACGTCGACCTGGAGCGATTCTTAAAAGAAAAACAATGCATTCTTCGAATCCAAAATAAAGACGAATTGTGTTGCGCCCGTCCTATAGTTACCGCAAAAGCTAAAATTGAAAAACCCAAAAAATGGGAGGCCATTCGCAAGGGCTGCAAGATACAACAGCAACTTGCTATGGATTTACACCATGTAGCGGGAGTACCTATAGCTAAATGTGGAATCAATGAGATTAAAACATTTCAACAAATATTGCCAACATTTCAAATAATCGTCGCTTCATTAGATTATGGAAATGCAGTTATATAACGAGGGCCGCCTGCAAAACAAAAAATCTACTTGTATCACCACAATAATTATTATGACATTATAACCAGTATGCCCGCTTTTCTCAACAGAAGCTAATTTTGTATCGAATGCATGAAAGGATACAACAATAAGTTAGAACATCGGTGTCAAAACACGTGTAAACTCTGCTTCCAAGGTAACTGTATTGAAGAAATTTGGGAATATTGTGATGACTGTAATAGATCATTTAAAAGTGGAAACTGTTATAAAAATCACCTTAAAAAACCTTCGACATCTTATGGGTTCGTATGCGATTTATATTATAGGTGTAGAGACTGCGATCAATTCGTTAGCAAAAGACGGCACAAAGGAAAGCCACATCAATGTGGCGAAAAATTCTGCGCGATCTGCAAAACATGATCACCTTTGTTATATGCAACCAGTAATTAATGAAACAAAGAATGATATAAGTGACGAAATGATGACGGGAGAAGTAATGTAGTTAGCACAAGCTACATTTTCTTTGACTTTGAATGTATTCAAGAAACTGGCATCCACCAGCCGAACCTTTGTATTGCCCAAAAAGTGTGTAAAGCATGCATCAACATCGACTGGGGTGAATCATGTGTAGAGTGTGGTGAACGCGAAAAACAATTCTATAGACCCACCACTCGTGAAGATTTTTGCAAATGGCTTTTTAATGAAGAAAACGCCGGTGCTATTATCATTTGTCATAACTTCAAAGGTTACGACTCATACTTTGTTCTCCGATACCTTTACGACAATGCAATTCTACCAGAAGTGATCTACAATGGAGCTAAAGTCATGAGTATTAATGTAGCATTTACAGACATGAAATTCATAGACTCGTTCAACTTTCTTCCTATGGCTTTGTCTAAACTTCCAGGGGCATTTGGCCTTAATGAGTTAGCAAAAGGATATTTTCCGCATCTTTTCAATACAAAAGCTAATCAAGAGGCTGTCCTTTCCCATTTGCCAGATATGCATTATTACAACCCGGGATGTCCACTACGGAGAGAAAGAAATTTGTTGAGTGGTACGATGCACACAATAACGATGTGTTCAACTGTAAATCGGAACTTTTAAAGTATTGCCGATCGGATGTTGATATACTTCGTAGATGTTGCTTGAAATTTAGATCTCTATTTATAGAAATGACCGAGGATGAATGTAGTCCTGGAATAGACCCCTTTCAAAACTGTATTACGATTGCGTCGGCGTGCAACTTAGTGTACCGCACCAAATACTTACCACAGGACACTATTGGAATCATTCATCCCTTGGGGTACGCTTCGAATGATAAGACAATCTATCAAAGCTCTTCAATGGCTGAAGTGGATGTCTCATAAAAATGGACAATATATTCAACATGCTGCCAATCAGGGTGAAAAATGTATTGGTAAATACAAAGCCGATGGATATATCAAAGCAAACGAAGAGGAAATAGTACTTAAGTTTCACGGCTGTCTGCCCCATGGGCACACGTGTATGGAGCGTGAAACAAAACAACCCCTAAACGGTTTCATTATGGAAGACTATAGATAAACGACGGTATATCACAGACCTAGGGTATAAGTATATCGAGCAGTGGGAATGCGAATTTGACAAAGAGATCAAACAAAACAATGAGATGGCCGATTTCATAAAAACATTGACTATTCCATCAGCACTTGTCCCTCGTGATGCTTTCTTTGGTGGTAGTACAAATGCTGCTAAACTGTACTATTTGGTTCAGCCCAACGAAACGATCAAGTATGTTGATTTCACAAGTTTATACCCCTTCGTTAACAAGGTTGGAATATATCCAATAGGACATCCTATAATAATAACAGAGAATTTTAAAGATATTACCGAGTATGAAGGTCTTATCAAATGTAAAGTACTTCCTCCTAGAGGGCTTTACCACCCAGTTTTACCGTACAGAGCATCTGGTCGTTTAATGTTTGGCATTTTGAAAACACATCGGTATACGACCCTGTGACTAAGGATGGTGGACTCTTCACAGCTTACGTTAATGCTTTCCTCAAGTTAAAACAAGAAGCCAGCGATTGGTGTAAGACCAAAGAACAACGAGATACATATGTACAGTTGTACTTTGAAAAAGAAGGAATTAGGCTAAATCCCATAATATAAAAAAGAACCATGGTTTACGTGCTTTGGCCAAGCTCATGTTAAATTCATTTTTGGGCAACGCCCAAACATGACTAAAACCAGGTATATCGACGACCCAGAGGACTATTTCGAAATGATGTCTCGCGATGACACTGAGGTGCATTATGTAAACTTTGTAAATGACCAGATGGTAGAAGTACAATGGCAACAAACTAAAGACTTTTTATAACCGTCTGGTCGTACAAACGTAATCATAGCGCCCTATATATCTGCACAAGCGCGCCTTAAATTATACGAACTCTTAGAACAGCTTGACAGGCGTGTATTGTACTACGATACCGACAGTGTGATATACGTAAGTCGGGAAGGACAATGGGAACCGCACATCGGGGATTACTTGGCAGAACTTACGAATGAATTGGAATCAGACAACCACATCGTCACATTTGTGTCTGGGGGACCAAAAAATTACTCATACAAATTAGCAAAGTCAGATAGGAATGGAAATTTAACTCATTGTAAAGTTCGGGGAATTAGACTGAATTATCGTAACGACTGTTTAGTCAACTTTAGAAGCATGTTAAAAATGGTTCAGGGTGAAGGTCCAAAGAAAATACAAGTCACAGACCCCTACAAGATTGTAAGGGAAAAGAAGAATATGAATATCGAAACACGAGAAGAGAAAAAATGTACCAAGTTGTATACACAAAACGGGTACCTATAGGCAATTATGACACCTTACGGTTATTAGTTTCTAATTAACAGTTTACTAAGTCATATCGGTACTTTTTGATGTAGGTATGATTAATAGTTATGTTTGTATTCTGATGACAAACGTTTTATCTTTCATAGTGGATATTTTGTATATTATAATTTTTAATTAGTAGTAGGCCTACTAGTACAATTGCAAGGAATATTTGCTCAATGTATAAAGAATCGTTTGTACCGTTCTGCTATATTCATGCAAATTCAGAAAGGTTATTGTAGACAATTGCGCCGCTGTCGAATTCAACATCTTACAAACCTGCATCACTTTATATTTTGTAAATATTGTACTGCTATTTTTTTCATTTACAAGCTGTAAAAGATTGTTTGTTGGATAAAAATAAAAAGACTGTTATCAGTCACAAACGTGTGTATTTTGTATTTTTACTAATACAGTTGTAACATTATTATTTAATAAAACATAACTTACTACTGCACTATCAATACTTTAACCAACTATATATATATATTTTTTCTTTTTAATGTAAAAATATATTTTTACACTATGTAAGATGTGGTTTGAGTGATACGTTTACTTTCTATTGTCATATTGTTCGGTAATCGTTACGTTATTTAAACAAAATTTCTTATACTTATAATATTTTTTTAAAAAAAGAAATAAAACAAATAATAAAACGTAGTAGTATTAAACACAATTATTGCTGATATTCAAAATTGGGTGGGTTGATATCAATAACAAGAGGCTTGATACACCATCTAGAACAGATATACTTGTTTTTCATTCTTAGTCAAGCCAAAATGGTCATAGAAGAGCTAAACTAAATGAAATATAAGGAAATGCTAAAAATGTACCATCTACCATCGGTAAATTACGACGTGTAGCTATTGTAACGATAAGACGACGCGTGTCCCATACAAAAAAATTCTATAGAATTTTATAGACCTTCTATAGAGACTAATCAATTTCTACAGAAATTAGTATTTTCTATAAAATTGTTTTATAGAGGAACTAGGTTCTATAGAATTCTATAACATACTATATATGGTTTGAATGATACGTTTACTTTCTATGGTAATATTGTTTGGTAATCAACAATAGTTTAACATTACGTCATTTAAACAAAATTGCTTATACTTATAATTAAAAAAATAAAGAAATAAAACAAATAAAAAAAAAACAAGTAGCTTGAAACACTATTTCTTGCTGATATTCAAAATTGGCTGGGTTGATATAATTAAAAAAATAAAGAAATAAAACAAATAAAAAAAACAAGTAGTTTGAAACACTATTTCTTGCTGATATTCAAAATTGGCTGGGTTGATATCAATAACAACAGGCTTGTTACACCATCTAGATACATATGTTTATTTTTTAATGCTTGGTCCAACAATAATTACCTAAACTAAATAAATTATATAAGAAATGCTAAAAACGTACAATCTGCTATCAGGTAAATTACGACGTGTTGCTAATGTAACGTATAAGACGACGCGTATAAGGCATCACGAATCAACACCTTTGTTTTATGTACGACTCTATCATATCAGCCATTCTTTTGAAAATCAAACGGACTACTATATTTCAGCATTATGTTAAGAGACACAGTTGTAACGGTAAACAGGTATCTAAAACAATAGAACATTCAATAGCCTTTTCACGTTATAATACAATGTACGATGGACGATGCGCTCTGCTGTGCAAACAGCATAGGGTCAAGCTTGTTTTTAACTACATTTCATGAGCAATATGTTAATGCTATTGGTTGGAAACTTTAAGATATGTCAATTTAGGTACAGGCACAGTTATTAAATGTTTACAGATAAAAGAAGCAACCTTGAACAAAAATATACATACGCTAACGGCGATGCACACCCATTAAAAACCAAGTTTTAACCAATGGTCTTTCCTAAATGGTTTTACAAAATAGCTACATTGCCTCATTGAATGGGCAAAAAACACACAAAACAAACAATTAGGTAGATCCTGTACAATATTTCTGCAAAACCAACGTTTATGTTGGGATCTTTCGATTTAGTTATACATTCTTTCTGGTTGATTTGTATCTTTCAACTGTATTGTTATTCGTTTTAATAATTGACTTCAAATACTTTTCTGTAGGAAACACCAATATACTGGTCATAATGGCCATACAATTTCGTTAATTGAAAATGAAAAACATCCAAATCAAAGGTCCTCCAAATTGTTACAACTACTACTCATAAATGAGAGACAAAGTAAACAAAAAAAAAATACCATTAATCATCATCAAAAAGAAAGTACGTACAACAAAAATAAAAAGCAACAAGAGAAATGAAAACTGCTTTAAAATACGGCAGTTATCGTATGTTCAAATAATACGAGTTGTCATCATGTAGCAAAAATAAACCAATTATAGGCCTATATATAAATAAAACTATAAAAAAAAAACAGAAAGAAAAAACAACAGAAAAATTATTCATAAATAGTTTAACTGAAAACAAAAACAAAGCAGATACATAATTATATTTAAAAATAGTTTAGAAAATTAGTAGTGTTTGATTTACTAACACCTAATCCTCACGTAATATGCAAAATTAAAAAAAAATCAAAATTATGAAAGCTAAGAAAAAATTTACCACTAACTGTTATTTACATAAGCAACATTATCTCATACAGTAATTCCTATATAGGATATCTAAAATATTAGAGGGTCTGAAAAGAAAAACATAGAATGTAAAAAGTGCCACTGAAAGAGCTGATGTGGATCAGATAACGCAACCTGAATTCAGGAACATGATGTCACAACGCAGATTTGTTTACCTCATTAATTTCTGGCAGGTTTGCAGTAAGGACATACAAATCCTTAAATTACCTAATGAAGCCGACATTTTTCAGATTCCAAATTTGGCACATCTTTTTATTAGGTAATGATGATCCTAAAACGTCATATTCCAGCTATATTTCACAAGTCCTTTAATTATTATTGGTTAGCCTGGGACCTAGGCAGACAGGCCATCTTTACCGTCGAAAGTCCTGAGATTCGACGATGACGTCCGTGCACGTTTACAAACGCCATTGATTAGAATGAAAATAGACGCCCTGAATTGCGCTGAATTTCTTTTTTTATGAAAAATAGAATTTATCGAACATTTATCTATATAAAAACAAGATTAATATTGTAGAAATTGTATTTTTAAAGATGCATATAATTTATATTTCATTTGGTAGACAATAAATATTCAGTAAAATATACTAAAAACGATTATTAATTCTAAAATGTGCATCTCAGCTATTATTAATCAGTACCATGTATTATGTTATAAAGTCTTAAAATTATTATAATTTCGAATTAGGCCTAGTATATAACAAATAATTGTAATTAAAATGTAGGTTCTCATGTCAGATGACGTATTGAATATGATGCTATATTTTGGGCTCTGACTTAATTTAACGATGGCCCTGTCAGTAGTCATGACAATATTTGTGCTTTTTTAGCCATGTAGTAAATAGTACTATTATTTTCAGTGTACAAAATAAGAAGTTAAGAAGAAGTAGTAGAAGAAGAAGAATAGGAAGAGGTAGAAGAAGAATAGCTTTTTTTTTAGTTTTATAATAATAACTCTGTTGAGTATTGATTATGCGATGAGGTTTTTTTTTTTTATATCTTTCGGTGTGATTTAAACATGCCAATTCTCAGAAAAAGGTTTCTAATTTTATTATATTACCACATTTTATTACATAGATCTTTTTCAAAACGTAACTGCTTTTACAACATTATATAGACCCATTAAACACAAAAAAAATGCTCTGGCTTCGGGGCTTCGCCCCCGACCCCACCGTGGCCCTTACGCAGGCCCCTGAACCCCACGCCCAGAGTGTGCTGATCCTTATTATACACAATAAATAAGTGATCGTGACACACAAGTTAACATTCAACAGTTCGTTTTATTCAATACTGTCTGTACGCCATGTTATGTGTATGTGTGTATCGTTACTACGTTATTGTACTATAGGTGGCGCTATGAATGTATAACCAAGTGTCACTTCACCTTCCCCCTTCAGAGGGTGTGGAAGTGTTCCTTTTAAAGATTAAATGTAGTGTACCATGTAGTCTACAATTTAACAGTATTTCTTATTATAATTACATTACAGTTCTGGTATTCACTATTAAGTCTAAGTGCTGTATGATTCGTTAAAGTACTTTGGGTTTAGTTTAGATTGACGCTCAGTTCTACGAAGAGTTTTGGTACTGCCTGAACTGGTTTTCTTGTAATTGTTTTTGCATTGACTTGATACGTCTGCTCATCTTCCTCCTCGTCGCTTTCTATTGGTGTGGGAGTAGTGCACATGGTCTAACCAGGGAAATTTTCCCATTATTTAGAGGCTCTCGACCAATCAGAAGCCTGCATTCGGTACCGCGTGACCCTCATTTGCATAAATTGAGGAGCAGGACTTCCATTTTAGAGCGGGGGTGTGTTAACCCTATTCCATTTTTAGAGCGGGGTGTTTTGAATTGGACTATTCCATTTTTAGAGCAAGGGTGTTTAACCCTAAACCTATTCCATTTTACGAGGAGGGGGCTTTAACTAAATCAATTCTATTTTTGGAGCAGGTGGGGGGTTAACCCTAACCTTATTCCATTTTACAGGTGTTAACCCTAAACCTATTTCATTTTTTAAAACCAAAAGTGGTTAAACCTAACCTATTCTATTAATGAGCAGGGGTGCTTAATCCTAACTCTACAGTATTCCATTTATGAGTAGGGTGTTTCCTAACCTATTCTATTAATGAGCAGAGTGCTTAACCCTAACCCTACTGCATTTCATTTATAAGTAGGGGTATTTTTAAAACAGCAGGGGGCCTTAACCCTAACCTATTCCATTTAGGAGCATGGATTCTTAACCCTAACCCTATTTCATTTTTAGAAACCCTATTCTATTTTACAGAGTGTTTAGCTTAACCATAGTCATATTTTGAGCAAGGAGGTTAACCCTAACCCTATTCCATTTTCAGGCTGTTTAACCGTAACCCTATTCCATTTTTAGATCAATTACCTTAACCATATGTCATTTTTAGAGCAGTGGTTAACCCTAATCCTATTCAATTTTACAGGGAGTTTTCAGTGCCCATCTTTCCCTTCTATTATATATATATATTTTTTCTTTTTAGACCATCTGTCCTTTTAGTTTCTTAAACTATTTTGAAATTATAGGAATTTCACAGCATCACTGATTCCAAAATTAAGTTATATAGAGCTGTATGATGGTTATTATTCTGCTTTTTAGTTCGTTATGGACCATTTGATTTTTTCTGTATATTGAGATTGTTTGGTTTAACTCCAATTAAACATGACAACAACCTAATTTAAAATACACTAACATATTCTAACCCTAAGTTTGATTCTGCTCTATCCTATAATGTAATTATAGTTCTTCGTTCTGAATAAAATCGATCAACTGCAATAGTTCTACACAAGTCCTTGATATTTTTTAACAAAAGAGGAAGACCAGCTATTCAGTTCCTTTTGTCGTTATTGTTTTATAGAAAATTCAAATAGTGACATCATGTTCAACGTGTCTGTACATGTAAGAATGGATTTTTCAGTGCCCAACTTTCCCTTCTATTCTATATCTTTTTAGACCACCTGTCATTTCAGGTTTGTTAACCTATATTGGAATTACAGGAATAATACGTAAATAAAGGTTGTCACAGCATCACTGTCTCGAACTTAGATAAACAGAAATTTATGCTAGTTCTTATTCTGATTTGGTTGTGGACCATTTCATTATTTCTGTATACTGGGATTATTTGTTTTAACACATTTAAACGTGACTACAACCAAATTTAAAATACCTAACAAATGTCATAACCCTAACTTTGATTTTGCTTAACTATAATGTAAGTAGGCCTGTTCTGAATAAAATCGATCAACTACAATGGATCTAGACATATTCATTATATCCTTTATTCATCTTTAAAATATAAAGTGATACAGGGATAAAATATAAAACGATATACAATTCCAAAAATAAATAAATAAGGCTCTAGGTTACAGTTTAAAAGACATTAAACTATACAAGAGAGAAAAGCAAAAATTTAAAATTAAAAAAAAAAAACAAAAAAAAAAACAAGCTGTCAACAACTAAACCCAGGCCCAGAGTTAAAAATTCAGTAAAAAGGATCGACAGGTGTCAGTCACCTTATCTCCCAGGCAGGGCTGTATTTGGAATTCCAGATAATATAACTGGATATAAGGGCCGATTCACTGAGCTTTCTGAGTACCATCCTGTTTTTGGTTTTGCTGATTTTAAGAAAGCTTTTAAGGCGCTGGGTATTTTCATTAGTAATGAGCCCCCTTGACCCAACCTAGACGCAAAATTGTTTGCTAGAGTAACCTTTTGATTGAAGATCATATTTGTCGGATTTATAAATGTGAGCTTTACCAATATTGGGTTCAAAAGGGACGCTTAACTCAAAGATATCAATATTTTTGTCAGATCTATTGACCAAAACTATATCTGGCTTAAGATTAGTACAAAGTATTTCAGGAGGAATAGTTACTCCAGCAATAGAAAGACCCTTGACATCAGCAAAGACCTCCCCCTCCGGCCGAAATTCACGGATGAATGCCAACAAGTGGTGGATGATCGAAGTGTGACGCCATGTAAATATACCCTGGTCCAGATACACTTTGCATGAGTTAAGGACGTGATTCAAAGTCTCTCTATTACCACAATGTTTACAGACATCAGTAGTACGTTTACCCCAAGTTTTAAGGTTGCTCATTGTAGGCAAGAAATCGATTGAGGCTCGAACCGCGAAGCTGAGGACTTTCTGTGGCATATCATAGATGATCGATCTCCATGTTAGGTCACATGATTCAAGCTCAATTAATTTAAGTACTTCACCCTGCTTAACAAGGGGTTTGATATAGTCAGACCATAATTTCTTACGATCTGCAAGAACTGCGTTTTTAATGTCTGCTTTGATTTGAGACCACTGCTTAGGAGAGTCCTCAGCTTCAGGGTTCGCGGATGATAAGTACGATTCCCATTGCCTTGATCCATTTCTTACCATCTTCCGAACCCACGTCAGCTTTCAGCATACATCGAGCGTAGGCAAGACTATGAGACTCCAAGTAAATATCGGAGATCCGAGGGATGGCAAGGCCATCGGGACTGTGGATGAACGCAGGGGTTGCCCCAGTAATAGAAATTCCTAGAACAGTTTTCAATGCATTAGTGTTAATGTGGTCGAGTTGCTGAAGCTGACTGTCGGATAACTCATGGACTGTAAGAAGGTATCTTAATGAAGGCAGAGCATATTGTACATAAACCTTAAGTTTATATTCGTTCCTAACGAATGACAGATTGATATTGTTAATAATTCTGATTAGTTTATCTCTAATAAAATCGAGAGTATCTTTAGTTTTCCCACTAAAATATATCAGACCTCCAAGAAATTTCTCAGGGGCATCTTTTAGGGTTTTTAATTCAGTGTCTCCAACAGAAAAAACACATTCATCGGGTTTACCGCTTCTAATTGAAAGGCTTTTGCACTTCACTGGTTTAAGCTTAAGACCCATAGATTGGGTTATATTATAAATTTTATTCATCAGTGATTGATGTCTTCTCTTGTCACCAGTGAGCAAGCAGAAGTCGTCTGCAAATGGCAGAGTAATATACCTATGACCACATAAATTATAACCATGTGTGCTTTTATATGATTTTAGCAAATCAGTTATTGGGTTAAACACTATAATGAAAATGATGGGGGAGAGGGGATCACCCTGGAAAACTCCTTTCTTAAAGGCAAATGGGTTAGATTCTCAGCCTGGTCCTCTAACAATGCCTTCAAGCCCTGGAGTATAAGTTCTCAATATAAGTACAAATCTCCTTGGGAATTCGATTTCTTTTTAAGGAATAATGAATAAGGTTATGCTCAATAGACCCAAATGCGTCCGCAAGATCAAAGTAGGTAGCATGTAATGTCCGTTTATTTTTCCTAGCATCAGAAAGAAGTTCGCTCATCACGAATGAATGCTCAATACAGCCGTTTATCCCTTTCATGAATGCCTTCTGCGTGCTATTATCTATCAAGTTGTTGTTGGTCAAATATTCAGAGATGTGGTTTGCAATAATTTGGTGGTACAGCTTCCCAACACGACGTAAGCGCTATCATTCTAAAATTTAAGGGCATGCTTTGATGGTTGTCCTTATGGATTAGAGAAACAAGACTTTTGGACTAACTCGCGGGTGGGTTACCACTTTGTAATAGCTTCGTAAACAATGTAGCGAGAAAATGATGCGTTGCAGGCAACTTTTTTAGGATACCATAGCCAATGCCATCTGGGCCAGGGCTAGATCTAGAGTCTTTCTGGTTCAATAGCAACCTGATGTCCCGTGGCCTAATTGGGTTCAGGTTCAGTAGGGAGGTTTGGATACCATTTAAGATCATCAAAATTAACATCATTCGCGACACTGTATTTCTGTGGGTAGAATTTATTTGCTATATTGGGTCCAAATGTAGGAACATTTCCACGACTACCGATATTGCCGTTGACACATTGTTTAGCAAATCGCCAAAAGTTCTTGTGATACAGTTTTTCATGGTGTCTTGATGCTTTCATTCTAGACATACTTTCAATAATCCGCTTAATATAATTGTGGACCTTTACAGCTTCGCGAAAGGCTTTTCTATCGGCGTCCGTTGCATTCTTGTCAAATGCCTTTTTGCGAAGCAAGTTCTTTCTATCTTTAGCTTTTTTCAAAGTACTACTTTCGTGTTAAATGTATGGTTTTCCTCCATTTTGTTTCTTGACAAATCCTTCGTTTAGTATTAAAAATTCCACAAGTCTATTAAAGCATTCACCAGCCTGGTCTGGAAGAATGGAATTTGTTGATAGGTCATGATGCAAAGGACCTAGGATATGCTTTAGACTGTTATTATATGCCGCCCAGTCTTCTTTTGATAAAATTGGAGCCTCGAATGAAATTCCAAAGCTGACATGCGAATCACACAATGGTTGGCCTTCCATGTGAATACACAGGTGGTGTTGATTCAGCTAGCGTTTCAGCCTAGCTTGCTTAACACAAAAAAACACGTAAAAAATTGGCAAGATTAATTACAAAAATATCCACAAAAAGAGAATGATCCACTATAAGAGAACAAACCACAAATCAACACAAGCAAGAAACAACAAGGGCTGGAATTGACTCTCATGCAACATTTGCAGCGGAACTAAAACGAGAGCGACCGACCAGCAGCCGTCTAACCATCCAAAAGTCTTTGTAAATTTGAGAACATCACGATCATCATCACGATCCAAAAATAGACCTAGGCTAGACTGTGCTAGACTAGAGAGTGAGGAAGAGAGGATATACCTACCTACCTTACCCGAAGAGAAAGGCCTAGGCCTAGCACTTTTCTTTTGTCATTCGTTTTCAATTAAGTATATATTAAAATAAATATTCTTGTTTTTCCTCTTTCTACTTAGTTTGTACTGATGTTCCGATGGGAGAAATTCCACAGGCTGACGCTTGCATTACTTATTCAAGTACTTGCGTGTGTAGAGAGTTACTCTCAATTGAGGGCAGTATTGATGGGAGGCAATGGGCGTTTAAAAATGTAAAATTCTTTTTCCTGATGCTTATACAAGATATATATCTGTCTCTTATACACATCTAGATGTGTATAAGAGACAGGGTCACAACTAGTGACATTTATTTAATTTCTTTTCAAAAGTCACACAATACTGTACATAAATTGTTTATTGGAGTACTGTCAGTACTATTTATATATATCTTGTTTTGTCAATTGCTGGATCTTGTCTTGTCGTCAGTTATTGCTGATGATAAGAAGAGGGCATATTATTCCATTTATTCCCAAAGCATTATTGTTTTTCATTATTTTTTAAAAATTTATATAAAGCATATATATACAATATAGTAAAAATTGTTTAGACCTATATGCTTTTGTGAGTAATGCAACAAGAGTGTCCATGCTTTAAAGAAATTGCCATTATTGACCAATATTTGGATGAAAGGGGGAAACACCACTTAACTATTTCTCCAAGCTTTAATAATTTCATGTAAATTTCTTTAGCAATTGTCTGAAAATTGTTTTTCCCCATTCATTCATTTATTTATTTAGCCAAAAGTTTACAGTTAACAAACAGGGAAATAACCCACGAAAACCAATAGCAGGTTTATTTCCATTGCTGTCCTGCATTAACATTACTGTATTAGATTGTACCGTCATGTTGCATACAGGCGATTCATATGTTGGATCTGGAACAACCGAAGAGAAATACCAGCATGTGCAGTTCTTACAATATGGAAGCCATTTCCTTCCGATACTTGCAATTCAATTCCTAATTTTAACATTACTGCATAACCTACATTAAACTTCTGTTTCATTTGAATCTTGACTTTCTTTCCCTAACCAGTGTAGCCTTATCAGTCCAAATAAAGTAATTTGTTATTTGTTCAGAAATGACGTCATGATTTTCTTTTGCATATTCAAGTGCATCCTTAAGCATTTTGATCTCATACCGACTCTCAAAGGAAGAGCATTAAATAATTCCTAAACATAACCTACAAAACAGAAAAGAAGTACACATCATTGAAAAAAAAATATATGTGGATCCCGTATCAATTATTTGAATTGTTTCCTTTATGATCAAATAAATATTTAGTTTTAATACAGTATTAATACAGTTCACATGAGAGTGCTGAGAGTATTCATTAATTTTTTTAAGTTAAGTAGTAGTTGGATAACCCCTAAGAAGAGGAACCAAATCAACACACACACACACCCACACACACAATTTAAATTGCTGGCTATATCATCTTCCTCGAAATAAAGACTACATTTCTGCATCCCAAAATAAACATCTATTCTAATGGTTTTAATGGTTCTCTGTTATGGTAAGCAACAAAACATACCTAATGCGGATTCTTCATTTACAGCTTTTAATACAGATTGTTTTTTCTACAATGTTAGGAAACGAACTGCCAATTTTGCTTCTCCTTATCTGGTTAATATGCCTGGTGTTGTTCCTTTTGGTTTACCATTATCTTCTATAACAATGTCAGTAACAACTCCCCTAACACTTTTCTCTTCATTTGCATCTGCATTTGGTAAGGTCTTCTAGTACAGTACCTAGCAAGTAAAAGAAATAATAAAAATCTAAATGCCAGACCAGCACAAACTATAGTTTAAATTAGGCTAGCATAAGACAGACTTTATCAAGTTAGTAAAAAGCATTTCTGTAACAACACGTTATATCGTCATTGCAGACTAAAATCCGCATGACCCTTAAAACTAAAAGAAAATGCATAAGTCCGTACTGAGCCCAAAAAATCCGCAATGAAAATATAACGTGTTAAACCCAGTCTTTAAATATCCGTAGTAAGTTAAATGCAAAATTTCTAAAGCACCTAATAATTTGTCTTGAGTGCAAACAATTATGGGTACAGGAAAATAATAATTGTGGATTCTAAATAACAGGCCTTTTTTTCTTAGTCTTTTCAATAATTTTTTCAGTCTGTCAAAATGAGTTGTCTACAGACAACCCAGGTAGCAAAGTTTGTGGGGCCCTTACGTGAAGTATCTGGGCCATGTGGGCAGGCCCATACCACACATAACCCTTATGGGGCCTGTATGGGCTACACCATATGGAATAGGTCCCGTAATTGTGATATATCGAGAAACAATATGTTTAGCATGTGGGTCAGGGCATTTGGCACCCATGAGAGAAAGAAAAGGGCAGTCCCTAGTAAATTTGTGTATTTTGGGGCCCACAAGGGGAAAATATGGGCATACACGTTTGGAAAGTTTATGGGTCAGCCCATGTGGGAAAAGTATCGGCAGTCACTAATGGCTACTATGTGGGCAATCACATTTGGGAACGTCATTTAAAAAGTGCGGGCATGCCCATATGGGTAAGCACATTTGGGGCCTACAAAAAAAAATAGGCAGACCCATAAGGGCTATTTCTGGGACAGTCCATGTGATGAAGGATGGGCAATCACATGTTGGCACTATAAGGGCCAAAACATTTGGGATACATATTTTCAAAATGTGGGCAGGCCCAAATGGTTTAGCATGTTTGGGGCCCTTGAGGGCAATAAATGGGAACATTCATAATGGCTCTTTGTGGGTCAGCCTTTGTGGGCAGATTATGGGAAATTATATATGGGATAAATATGGGCAAAAGCATGTGGGAAATATATTTTTAAAATATATGGGCATACCCATATAGGTTATCCTATTTGGGGTCCACAAGAAAAAAAAATGGATGAACCCATTTGGGCTATTCATGGGTCAGCTCATGTGGACAAAGTAAGGGGTTATAATATAGGCGATATGAGGGCCAACACATTTGGGATATATATTTTTTAAATATGGGGAGGCCCAGATAGTTTAACACATTTGGAGCCCTTGATGGCAAGAAAAGTAAACATTCGTAAAGGGTTCTTTGTGGGTCAACATGCATGGAAATATGTGGGAAATATATATATATTTTTTAATATGGGCGTATGCTCATAGGCTAGTATTAATCCCATTTGAGGCGCACAAGAGAAAAAAATGAGTGAGCCATGGGTTATTTCTGTGTCCAGTGGCGAAGGTGAAGTAAAGGGCTTGATGATCTGTTGATGGGCGCTAACTCGCAAAGGTGATTTTAAGATGATTTTTTAACTACTTTACCGTAATTCTTATGGGAGAAACCAGGAAGGGGGGGGGGGGCGCGAGTAAATTTTGGAGGGACGTATGCTCTCGGAAACCCCTACCCCCGCACCCAGATACGCCACTGTCTGTGTCAGCCCATATGTGGGCAAAGTATTGGATTATCACAGGCCTATGGGTACTATAAGGCATGAAACATTTGGGGATATATTTTTAAAATATCGGCAGTCCAGATGTTTTTGCACATTGGGGCCCATGAGGCTGAAAGGAGAGAAATAGGAAATACCTGTAGTGTAAAGTAAAGGACTATAAATTAGAGCATCATTTGGTAACTCAATTATAAGTACAAATTGTTTTACCTAATCATTTTCTTTAAAAAAGTAATTCAATGCCAAGCACTTCAAGAACAAGACACAGTTCACCAACATATGCTGTGCATGCATAGGTGTACAATATTTAGCCATGGTCCAAGGCTACTCAGCTCGAATTACTGAAATCGGATTGGGCTAGGTCACTTCAAGACCAAGAATGCTGGTGTTTGAATTTTTATCAGTTAATTGGTACAGTTACGGCTGTTGATGATAGGCGGTTTAAACATAGACTTGGAAGTATTTCAGCAGTATCAAAGGGTAACTGCAACTTGAGTATCCTGAAATAAAATCACCACTTATGTTAGTATCTAGGCCTAGAGATTTAATGCATTAACTTTCTGCAAATAATGATACAATTCTTTACACCACCCCCTCCATGGTCAACCCTAAACCCATTTTTTTTTAAATTAAAGGACATTAGTGAGGACACGGCCCAAATGCAATTTACCACTCTTGTTATGGCATGCTAGACTATGGGGAAATTAACTTACAGCTTGGCTAGGTCAACAAAAGGCCCAGGTTCTAGGCCTAGTCCTATATCCTCAATGGCCTAGGCCTAGAACAGAGTACCTCAGTTCTGTCTGTCTCTGTACAGCGGCTAGGCTAGTATTACCGGTACAGCCAGCCTAGGCCTTAGGCTAGGCCAGGCCTCTTCATTCAAGCTTTCATCTACCACTACTACTAGGCCTAGGAGGAGGCTAGCGTGTCTGCTAGAGTAGTAAACTAACTAAATAATAAAACAAAACCAACTCTTACCACTCAATAGTGAATACAGTATTGCTAAAATACTCCAAGAAGTATGTTTATAACTGCCTAACATCATGAAAGTCCAGAGAAAAATTCAAAATACTACCGCTTCCGTCGGCTCTACATGAAGTGACAATTCAAATCAGCTGATGAAGTGACCAATCAGATTTGTGCAATTCGACACTAACATTAATTGGTAGGTAGATGGGCTATCACAGTAAAGGCCGGTTCCCACTGTCAACTTGTCAAGCGAAAGCGTCGAGCGTCACGCGGTAAGCGAAGCGAATCGCGCAAAGTTCACAAGAGTTGACTTTCGGTAAAGAATGTCTCGCTTCCAATGATTCGCTTGCCTGTTCCCACTGCCGACCGCGCACAAAAAAATCGAAATGGCGGGTTGCAACAGAGAAGGTATTTTGTTATCGCATTGATAGACGGAGGAAAAGGGCTGTGAGACGAATCAGATAAAATCGTAAGGATTAACATTCCCAGAACTCTATAATGAATCAAAAGAGTGAATTTAAACATAGTTTTTTAAGTATATTTATTCAAGGCCTAGAGC